GGCCTAGCTAGGCCTAGTCATGATAGTGATGATAGTGAAAGTGTGCATAACACTGGCACCAACGACAGTGACAGTGACAACTTTCTTATAATTAGACAGAGAAGGTCTCAAGGATAAAGAATATATATACTTTTGTATATTTTTGAAAGCCAATTAAAAACTTATAACGCTTTTTCTATATATCTCCTATTTTCCTCAAATTTCCTGCATTTTATTCCGTCCAGATATGGGAAATATGGAATAGGAAATTACGTAGTGAAAGAGTTAAATTACACCTGTATAGTCATTTACAGAAAAAAAAGTATTGATGGAAAAGGCCAGAACGATGCAGGGCCGAAATGACCCGACGCCTAATCAATATATCTTGGCTGTCGTATTGTTGTGGCTACCCTCTCGTAAAGTCTTTCTTCTCATCACCATACACTGACTGGAACTATTTTTAAATACCTGAATATGGGGGGAGATGTTAAGGTTCAACCAAGATCACCACCACCCCACCGCTGAATACATACAGGTATAATAAAAGTAACAGAACTGAAATTGTCTCTCAACGTGCAAAGAAACACAGACCTCTCTGTGTTGTACCTAAATTAAAGTCAAGTTTCCTAATTATATTTTGTTTGTTTTATTTATAAAATATTTTTTTGAGATGGTAATTTTTAATTATGTATATTGTAGCTGCAGGGTTTCTAATACTTTATGTGTCCAAAATTAAAGGATTTTTCAATCAAGGATTTTAAAATTATGACCTTTAACTGTAAGTGGTAAGCAACTCTTATAAGGAATTTGATTTAAATTTTCCTTTTTCCCCTACAATTTCCATATTTGATGAAGTAAAACTGGAAGAATTAATAATAAACAAATAGACAGACAGACAGCACAACAGAAAAAGTAACAAATAAATATATAACTATATTAAAATAACAAAATAACAAAAGAACACAGAGGAGTTGTGGCTTGGTAATTATAATACTTGCCTTCAAATCCCAGCTGGTTCTGTGTACAATTCCTGTGTACAATGATTTGTTTGCTTTGTCACCAGAAAAAGCAGCTGAAATTTATGATTCAGGTGTTGCACACATTGTAACTAGAAAACTTTTGGATGGAGGAAAGGAGAGTCCAACGGCAGAAAGCACAAATAATGAAGCTGACTCAGAAAATATGCAGACATCAAGTAAGAAGGAAACAAGACGTGAGGACTCAGAATCAAGTGTAAAGGATGAGAAGAAATCTAAATCAGTCAAACAATTAATATCATTGTTTAACAAGGTAATAATACCCATATTATTTTTTTTTTTTCATTTAAAATTCATTTTTTTGTATATATCACAGATCACACAAATCACAAAACAATTTGTTTGATTCTACAGTCAATTGAAATTGTAGGATCTGGGAGATTCCTTAGAGCAGAGGTAATTTATGAAAATCTGTAAAGAAAACTTTCCTTCTTGAAATAAAATAAATCTCATTTTCATTTTTATTGTACTAAAAATAAGTAATGTAGAACTTTTCCCTTCTTGAATAGATTTAAAAAAGCAAAACTCTTATTGTTCAGATTTTAACTGCTGAAAATAAATAATAAATATTTATTTTATAACATGTAGTCAGAGGTTCAGTTTCCCACTAATGATGTAAAAGATGTAGTTACATTGGGAAAAGAGCATGTAGCTGAGTATGTTCAAAAAGACCATGTACCTGAGCAGGTTCAGAAGAAAATAGAGGACAAGCTGAAAAAAACTGTGAAAAAGAAGGAAACATTAGGAAAATGGCACAGAGCACAAGAAGGGACCTTTAACATTCTGGACTTTGGAGGCCAACTCATCTACAAAGGCATACAAAGGGTAAAGTATCATGTAATTATCATGTAAAGAAAACGTTTAAATGTTCTAAAAGCTAGAATTAGAGTAAAACATGTCATTACTTATGGTATTAGTTTTTGCTCAATTTTATATTTTCGGTAACTCCAATGAAATTATATAAGGTCCTAGATAACAATTAGATTTATTCTTTGTTGATTTATGTTATTTATTTTTTTTAAAGCAATCTAAATTTCACTAAAATCAAGTTAAAATTAGTGGTGGACATGATTATTAATTGATGAGAGGTTGGCATATAATTACATGAGTTTCATCATTTATGTGGACAAAAATAACTTATCATAGCTCTATTATCTTTTATCCAAGAATCTGAATGTCCCTGCCTAATAATATTCATTTTTTATTTTAAATTTATTCAGTATTTTCACATTAACCTTAAGAGCTTACTTGATTTGTTAAATAGCTTAAGAATATTTATAATTTTTTTATTGTTTTTTTTTTCACCTTTCTCTTTTTTATTGTTTGTATTGCTTTATTTTGTTTTTGTATTGTTAAATTTGGTTGGACAGACACACCCATTGGTGCTATACATGTCCCTCACACTTTTGTCCGTCCTGGCAAACATTTAATGTAGCTGTCTGTGGTGGGTTTTTTTTTTTATATTTAACTCTTGATTGTTGTTTTATAATTTAATTTTTTTTGGGTGTATTTTACTCTTTTAATATAAATTGGCAAATAAAATATTATACAGTGGCGAATCCAGGAATTTGAAATAGGGGGGACTTTCACAGATGGCGGGTAGATATTACCTGGGGTAAGAACAATTTTGATTATGGCACATCTAGATGCCCAGAAATAGCATTCTTAGACTTAAATTTGAATGTAATTTTCTTTTTTTCTGATTTTTTTTTTTATTGTGAAAAATTTAGGGGTGGGGGGGTGCGAGCCGGCTGGGCTCCATCTTGAATCTGCCTGCCTCCCCCCCCCCCCTTGAATCCACCTATGATATACCAGTAAATGTTTTAATTTCTCCTGGTTAGTAAATGAAATTGAATTGTTATTTTAGTAGCTGTACATTAATTGTGTGGTGGTCTTCCAGTTTTTGATAGGGAGCTTTTGATTTGTGTGACGATGCGATGCAAGAACGGAATCACTCATGCATGACCGTCCTACCATGCATCCTACGTTCTCTGCATACATATATTTTGCCAAATTGTGTTCCAGAATCTACTCGACAAGGTGACTTTAACGTTCACGAATATGCACTATATACCTGTTGCACTATATACCTGTTGCACTATATACCTGTTGCACTATATACCTGTTGCACTATATACCTGTTGCACTATATACCTTTACGTTCTATGTTCTACCGTCGTCGTACAATCAAAAGCTCCCTATTATTAAGGGAAGGGTGAATCTTGGATGTTGAAATTCAGATTTTGGTGGATTGAGTTGACACGACATTGAGTTGACATTGTTTGGTCCTGTTTGCTTTTTTTTTTATTTGATATTTACATGCTCATAAGTGTCACTATCTGATAAAATGTATGTCGCATCCACAATTCTCAAAATTATTTTTATTATTATTTTCACAGATTCTGATGGTTTCTGTTGCCGTTTATCTTGTAGTCTTCAATCTAGAAGACAACCTTGATTCATTTGCATTTGTTCTGGATTCTTCCAAGGTATTAGAGACACGCTTTCTAACTTGCTTGTTAGCTTTTTCATATCAACAGAGGTATCTCACTTGGCTGTGATCTATTGCACACCAGATTTAGCATATTATAAACTTTACAGATAGCGGTAATGTTTACATAAAAGTCCAAACTCATGATATGCATTACTAATATAGTATTTTATTATATCCTACTTGATGTTAGTAGGTTTGCATTTCGTAAAATTGATTAGAGAGTGGCGATATATCAATATTGGTATTTTAATAAATAAAATATTATAATACTGGAAATGTCACTGTTTGTGTAAGAAGATTGTTAAGTATGAATACATAGTTGTAATTTTAACTAGTATGCTACCTTATAATTCATTGATTTTCAATGGCACATATTACTGTAAGTTAATTGTAAATTATTTAAATTAACAATTTCTGTCATTGAAACATATTAAATATATTGTTTTACTGTATTTCATAGTGTTACTGGCAGGCTACCCGATGTTTGGATGTGTATTGAAATAAAATGAAATGATATTTTTTTTTCCAATCTGACATGTCATACTCAGTATGTTTCCAACTTGTAGAATAAAGAGGAATAATAAAACCAGTGGTGGTGGATTCAATGTGTGTCTGTTTTCTTAAATAAGAAAACAGAAAATTATATTCAAATTTAAGACTGATAGTGCCATGGTGGGGCTGAGGTGGATCTGCCACATCAGGTTGGCCATAAACATTCCATTGTGTTTCCTGATGCAACATCAATCAAAATTGGAATAATGATTAATGTGATACTTTGAAACAAATCAGTTCTGCAGTACAGTATCTTTCTTTCAATGCTTTATTGTAGGAATGGCATAGATACCATATGACAAATCTTCAGGTTATCCTGTACTGGATTAGTACCATTTACTCTGACACACGTGTAATGGAACAAGACGCTGACAGTAGTACAGATTTGCCATCTGTTTTTATTGTGGGCACCCACAGTGGTTCACTAATTCTTGGAAAAGACGAAAATGAGAGAAAACTAACGGTAATTTTATAGATATTAATTTATATTTTAGTAAGTACTTTTTGAAGAATGTTTTTTTTTTTTTTTTTTTTTTTTTTTTTTTTTTTTTTTTTTGCACATAATCCTAAATCCCATTTCAGAAGGTAATTTTTTCCTTTATGATTAGGTCTGGTTTTCATACAATCCCAACAAGCTCAGGCCCAATTGTATTTCAAATGCTTGAAATGATCAAACCCACTATTGGCTGTTACTACTGGCCTAGAAAAAAATACTACACTGACACTTACTGCGTCTGTTTGTAATACAGATCATAGGGCTTTTCCTCATTAAAAAAAATCATTAAAATTATATAGTAAAAATGAAAGATAAATTCATCAAGACTTAAACTAGTGCTGCAGTTGTAATATATTGTCTTTGCTTTTAAAGTGATCAAAGTGCCAGACAGAAAAACCAAATGCAAAAAGATAGGAAAACTGGATAGAAGGAAAACTGTGTTTGTAAAGCATAACAGGGCTTTTCATCATTGCCATAATGAGAAGTGGGATTGTAGAAACAAGTAAAAGATACATAAAATACAAAAATAAAATCAAGCTAAAAAAAAGTATTATATTATTAGGCAGATGCAAAATAAATTAATTTTGTGTCTGATAAGTGACTGCCTCGTTTTACATAACAAATAATTTTTTAAACATTCCTTTCCATTGGATTTTGTTTCTAGCTATTTCTCTAAGTTTATAAAAATCAACAATATTTTCGAATTTAAGCCCTTTTTCTTTTATATCAGATTTAATTTTTGAGAATAAAGTGACACTGTGTCTTGCTTTTCAGTCTTTCAAAAGAAAATTATGGAGTAAAAAAAAGACAAGCTTGACGTCAGTGAAAAAATATAAAAGTAAAAGATACATAAAAAACAAAAATAAAATCATGATAATAAAGAAAGTTATGAAGTAAAAAAACCAACTAGCCGTGAGTGAGACTCAAACTATGGCTGCAATGTTAATGGTGAGGGTTGCGTAATAAGGATGTTTTGAATGTAGAACATAAAGACGTCATGTTGAACTGCGCATATCTGAACGTTGTGCATTACGTTTTCTCCTAAAATCCTAAACGGTCATCGGCCAAATCCACTTGAAGGTCTGAATGGGGACAGTACTAAATTAAACGTTGGTGCACCAGACTTTGCGTTTTGAAATTTTTGCGTATGTGTTGTAAAACATAAAAATTTGTTTACAGTCCATCGTAGAAGGCACGCGCCAACAGTCACGGATGAGTGTATTCGTTCCACATTCTTGTACGTTCTTGATCGAAAGCTTCCTAATGAAACACAAGTTATATTCACAGATCAGTGCATCATTTGAACAACTAGACCCTGCATTGGTATTCTCTTAAACTCCTTTATGCTCTTTTCATATAAATAACGGAAAAATCCAATTCATATTGAGTAAGAACATGAAGTGAATTTGACTGATGATTGGTCAATGGTTATGATTTGTTGGCGGCAAATTGGGATTGTAGTGTTCAACTTTTCCATTAGGTTAGGGTTGTAAAAGTAACTGTGATAGGATGAGCAAGAAGGGTTTTGCTTTCTTCCATGAGCTTTTACCTACCAGTAGAGCTTTCTTTGTATTTTATATCACTATTTAAATGGTGCCACAACTCCCTGAAAATGTTAATTATATAAGATGACTAATTTTCCTATTACTATAGGCTGTAGTTAGGACGACTTTTAACCTTCATGCTTCTTTATAATTTTAAATTGACTTTATATAATAATACTTTATTTGTAAAACTACGCCTTTCTATCGGTAGCACACGCATAGCAATTGACTGTGCGTTCGTAAAGAAACATTTAAAACAGTAGTTTACGTATCTTGTTGCAACCAAATCTTTAAAAATAATTAAACTATGAACAAGCTAAAATTAGTACTTCCATATACCATATTAAGTAATTAGTTGGCCATATGCAAATTGTTCATGCAGAGTCAAGTCCGCACTAACACAACAGTTAGTACAATAGATTAATTTTTGATTGAAATTACTTCTTGTGACAAGATCAATGTAATTACTAGTTTCCCTAAAGATAATGAGATAAATAATAACTAATTGAAATCATGAGCATTGGACAGTTATGGACTTCATGGTGACACCAAAATATATGTGGATAGAAAAAGATGCTTTTTCGATGAAGCTATTATAACACGCTCCTATTGCGCGCAAAGCAATCTATCAGTGCCACCAACACGAATCAGTCATTTACACTCTGATGCAAAATGTGGCATGCACTCGGTGCAAAATTACATTTGCTTCCAAATTTGTTAGGACTAATTTTGTTTTGTTCTCTAAATACCAATTTAATCAAATATATGAATAATTGTTTTTGTATACTATACCTTGTTACTAGAATACATCTTTTTTGTTTGACTTTTTAGGTGAAAGAGAAGTTTGACAAATTAAAACGTGCATTAGCAGGCACTCCCTATGAATCACATGTACATACAACATATTTTTGTGTGGAAAACAGCTCACTGAATGATGAAAATATTGCAAAGCTTAAAAAGGAACTGGAAAAGCTGATGAAGAAAATGGTTAGGACGATTCCTCTCAGTTGGGTGCATTTCCAAAGTGAAATCCAAAAATTAAGTGAGGAGAAAGTGATTTGTCCTTTGAAAGAGGTATAGTGGCTCTCATAGATACTTTTATATTTAATAAATATACTGTTGTAGATTTTATATTTATATACGTTTACAAACAGAATCAGGGATAAACGTTGCTCCTACTAACACAATTTGCCTATTGGTTATTCTGTCATATAATATTGTAGCATTCCTCCTAGATCGTCGTCTATCAGGATGCCTTCGAGCTAGGGTTCAAGAAAAGTTTACCTTTCCGATTTGATTTTAAACTCAGCTGAACATGCATACATGTGTAACAGTTGCTAAGTTCACTGGCAACTGCCACTTCATTAGCAAAATTATGCAACGGGTAACTTGCTCTTCATTGAGGACTACTGTACAAGATGTATGAACAGGGAATTCCCAGATATAGGTGATATTGGCATCACATACTCTACCTCTTAACTTCATTTTTTCCCAGTATCAAATCTGAACCCTGGGTCAATCCCCTCTCTACAATTCATGTTACTGTGACGTAACAACCGGTAATTATCCAATCAAAATTAACATTTGCCCAATTGTAGATCTGTTATGAGGCTCTTTTGAGCATTGACCAGAAGCCCCCACTGCCATGGCTATTCATTTAATATATTTTAGCTGTTTCCACCTACAAATATAATTTTGTTTTTCTAGGTGAAATTTATTGCTACAAAGTGTGGAGTATCAGATGAAAATGCCCAAATTGCTTTGCTAGACTATCTGTATGATCTTGGTGAAATTGTATTCATCCGTACAATTAAGGAACTACAAAATGATGTTGTTGTTAATCCATTGAGTTTAGTTGGCTATTGTAAGGCTGTCTTCACTGTCATCATTCCAGAGCTACAGGTTGGTAATTAACAATTATAATATAATAGTAACAACAGCAGCTACAAACACTGTTTGCCTTAATAATAATAATAATAATTGCTGGCATTTTGGCTTGATTTTCTCTTCATCCATATGAATTTGTAAGAGCCATAAACAGCACTTAACAGAACAGATTAATTCTTGCTTTCTAGCGTGTATCATTCAATGTTTCCTGTGCGAGTTCAGTGCGTGATGTAGGCTACGTAGTGAAACGGCGAACACTTGCAATTATTTCAATGTAACATTTGAATTTTGAGGGAAGCAAAATTATAACTGTAAACCTAATTATATTTACATCATGAGAATCTACTAATCATAAGCTTTCCATTCATATATTTCATGAAGTAAAAAGAGCAATAGAAAGGGTCTAACTTATCAAACAAACACCAGGCACACCCCAGTCTTTCTGTTTCCTCTGTGCGAGTTCAGCGCGTGATGTAGGCTACGTAGTGAACCGGCGAACGCTTGCATTCCATTTCACTGTAACATGTGAATTTTGAGGGAAGCAAAATTATAATGGTTAATGGTTATTAATTTATAGAGCGCAAAATACAAAAAGTCTCTAAGCGCTATCAGGCAAGTGCAAAGATGGAACGGAAACCAAAACCACAAAATAAAAAGAAGTGAAATTTGAATACCATGCCAGCACCCAAACCGAAGTATGGGGATACGCCCTCATCGCTGGCTAGGGTTCAATCTAATTGAACTACAGTCAGCACCTGTTGAGTCTAAGCCATCTCGGATTCGGGCGCCTCCTATCCTAGTTAAGGCTATAAAAGCTAGCTGCAAACCTAATTATAACTGCAAACCTAACTATATTTACACAATGAGAATCTACTAATCATAAACTTTCCATTCATATATTTCATGAAGTAAAAAGAGCAATAGAGAGGGTGTAACTATCAAACAAACACCAAACACACTCCAGTCTTTGCATCAGTCGCTGGAGAAAAATAATTATGCTGAAACAGCGCCTGTATACAATACAGTCAATGGTGTTTGGAAGGCTTGATTCTATTGGTTTCCAAAAGTGACGGGGCTAAATATTGACTAATCACAACCATTTTTACAAAAGTTTGGTAGAAAGAATAAAGATCAACTTACAGAGAGAATGAAACCGATTGGTCAAATACTTTGCGAGTTATTCTGATTAAAATTTGGTAACATGATCCGCGAAAGGTAAAACTTCTGCTTTCTACGCTGGAAATCCAATGTAGTTGCCTACTTTTAATCGAAAAGTGACAGGATAAAAAATAAATCTATCTCGTTTCATTTTGTCTCATTAGAAAGATGAAAGATAGATCTTTTATTTAAAAAAAGGAGGAAATTGTTCTGATGAGCAGTTCCAAAGTTATGGTAGAAAAGGCTGTAAAAAAGTGTGTTTTCAGGGGTTTTTTTAGAGCAGTTTTATAAATTTATGCCAGCACGCTACTAAAGAGCGCGTACAAATTAATATGTTCAAGTTAAGTTTGGTTAAACTCAAAAAGTTACTTTTATCCAATGAAATGCGTATCTACATCTTGTAGATATTATTATGTGCGCATACAACACTCGACATGGAATTTCTTGTTGGCACTACCAAAATCCTAGATTGCAGTGTGTGAGGGTCTGAGTATAAAAAAAACTGATTATTATTATTATTTAATAATTTTTTGCAATGTCTTCAGTTATTAGGGATAATTTTTAGTTCCTATGCATACAATGCAATAGGGACTCTTGCAATCACATTTTGCGTGTGTATGTGTGTGTGTGTGTGTGGACATTTAGAATAAAATTGTGCATGCGTCAGAAAAAGTTTTCTGACATTTTGTTAGCTAGGCTGCTGTATGCTGCTGGAGGCGTGTATAATAGCACCTCCTGCCTGGGGCGGCGGGGAGATAGCGTAGTATTTGTTTAGGTCTATACCTGATTGAAGCAATTTTACACACATTGTTCTAATATAGGTCTCCATTTAATTTAAGCCTGTCATAAATGGTCACTTGTCTATGTAGTACTGAATAAAAGCCTAAATTTATTTTCATTATATTTTTTTTCTAATTGGAGGGAGACCTCAAGATGTGCTAACGCAGTATATTAACTTCAACAACTATAGAACTTTGGTTCAAATACAGGGATTTCAGTTCAAGAAATTTACCTGTTTCTTTGTTAAGGAAATTTGAGTACTTATTTGTTTACACAATTCTAAATTGGATTCTAATTTTCTATACAATTGCTAAACATTCAGAGTTTTCCATAAATTAACTATAGACCTATAAATATTACATATTATTTGTTTTACAGTCAGCAGTAATGAAGCAGAGTTGGAGAAAGTTGGACAAAGGAATATTGGAGGAACGTCTACTGAAGTTTCTTTGGAAGGATATTGTTGAAGATTTGGACAAGAACTTTGACTTCTTAGTGAAATTCATGGAAAGATTTGGACTTCTTTGTGAAAGGCAGTCACCTAAGGCAAATTATATATATTTTTTAAATTGCCCATTCATATATAAAACAGAAAAATTATTTAAATCAGCATGGTCTACAATTACAAACTACCAAGACAAGATAAACATCCATAAAAAAATAGACAATTTGACCAATGTTATGTTATTCTATGAAAATAAAAACACAAAACCTCATTATGTTATGCATAGAATTCAATTGTTACTGGTTAATAATTATGAATAAATCATTTACAGTAGGGAATTCTTATTACAAACATAAATACAAGGTTGTGAAAGTGTGTTCTTGACAACAATTTCACTACATTTCAAGCAAGTGTAAACTCTGTTTTTGTTTTTATTTTATTTCATAGGATTGTGGAACTACTCAACGTGTTTTCTACACTCCATTGCGCCTGAAACCAATAGCAGGTCAACAAAGACTCACAGAAGACTTTGGAACTCGTGCTATTAGCATTTTCCATGATTTCTGTGGCTACCTCCCAGAAGAACTCTTTCCACAGACAGTCACCAGGTTTATTGAGAAGTTCCAAGCAGAAGCAGGAGGTGAACCTGAGTTGGCACATGAGTATGCAGAGCTCTACCTTGATGACAACCATTATGTGATTTTTTCTGTTGTCACTGTCAAACAACGACGGATGTTTAAGGTATTATTTCTTCAGTTTGTAGATATAATTATAATATTAGCCTATACAAACCAAAGAAATATGTTTTTATGTTAGTAAATTCTTGATTCAAACAGCTATAGCTTTACCTAGAGTGCAGAGGTTTTCTGGCAACTTTCCCCAATAATCATGTGGGGGCCCTGTTGGTGTTGTATAATGAGACACAGCACTGTCAGATGGGGCTGGGGTGTTCCTCTCAGTAACACGTTGTAAACAGCTTAAAGGCTGTACCGTCCACGATCTCTGTTCAGGGTGCTCCTGTTTCATCGGGTATGCCAGGCTGCCCATTCATGATGAATCTAAAAGGTGGGGGTGGGGAAAGGGGGTGCATTGGTGTCAGATATTGTGGGGCCTGGCGGTGACTGTTTGGGGGCTCTAATAAATGAGCATCAAGGTTGGGGACGCGTAAGGACCCCGGTCAGGGTCCAGGAGGTGAAGACCTTGATGGTGGTCCGAAGGGGGCGCAGCCCCTTATGTTTAGAGCTTATGGCATTTATAAACTTTTCTGCGTTGTCAGAGAACATAGAATGGTCCATGACTGATTAAATATTTTATAACAAAACCAACATAGATTACATAGGCTGACTTTCGAAATTGGTATAGGTCTATGTAGGTGTAAAGATATAATGTACAGAGAATTTTATTGTTTAAAACAGGTGTGTTTATATTATATTTTTTGTGTTTATATTACATTACAATGTTCCCCCCCCCCCCACAACTTTTGCTTATATTTGTATTATTTAATATGTTAAATATAAATATAGAATAATTTTTATAACAATATATTTTTAAGTAAAAAATGTTTTAAGGGATCCCAAAGGTCCCTATCTAGTCTTTTTCTGCTTGTTCACTACATCCTAGCTGAGCTTTTAATTCTGTATTTGGCTGTGTTGCATATGACAATGAAATAGCATTGGATCTAAATAAAGACAATCGAATGAATTCAATGAGGTACCTCATTAAATTGTGTCCCTCCTATAAGACAAATGCCTTTATTATTTTGTTGAAACTTTAAAAAAGTTTCTTTCCATGTTTTAATGATCTGACCACTAGTGTTTGTGGTCTCTCTTGTTGAATTCTGCCAGCTGCATGCACAGCTCTCTAAAACTAGCTGTGGAAAAAATCCCAGACTTCCTATCATTTTCTTTGTCTGTAACATCATTTAAAGCCGCAGTTGCGCTGGATTTTCATCTCATTCATATTACTATTTTTGATTACCTGTCAAAAAATTTATTCACCTTTACTTGTTCCAAATTATATAAACATTTCTCATAAATATTTTCATCATTTTCTTTCTAGTTTTCTAATAAATCATTATCAAATATGTAACTAGACCAAAACATTTAATTATGTTTTTTTTTTGCAGACAACAATTGTAAGAGCAGTGATTCTTAGTGAGGCTAGTCCTCCAGCTGAACCAGAGCCTCAATCATGCAAAAAGGTATTTTTTTATTTTTTCATTTAAAGATTGAATATTTAATAACAAATTTATAGAATTGTCCAAATGAGTTATAGAACAATTGTACTTATTCTTCAGGTGTTGAAGTTTCTTGAGACTGTGTTTGAGTTACACAATGTTAATGAAAGGAGAGGAATACATGTTAAGTTGTGCATCCCCTGCCCTTGTAGTAAGAATACTGAACATATGCAGATACTGGGAGATTTTAAACAAGACTTGCTTCCATGTGGACGAGACCGAGTGAGAATAACACGCTACCAACAATTATTTGGAGATGGTAACATAACTGAAAAAGGTTTGTGACAAAATGAATTGTTTTAATTACAATATGTAATTTTTTTGGGAATTCTAAACTGCATTCATGTTATGCCATGGCTAGAGATACGGTACCGTATTTCTACTTCATTTTGCTAAAGGTACGGTAAATGACATTACGTCACCATCACCCAATGAAATGCCAGAATGTGCCTGACGTCATTTTTTGAAGACTGGCATGGCATTGCATATCACCCGCAATGAGTGGTGGAAGGAGAACGACGTACTGGGAAATTAGAACATCAAAAGTACAATATTGTTTGACTTTACTGTCATCGTTAAATAGGCGTATGGTTCCACGTTATAGTAAAGAGTTTTATTTAGCTAGGCCTATATATAACCATTATCAAATAAGGACTGATTTCTGTACCAAACTCTTGGCATTTCTCTAGGGAATCTGCCTCTAGGCCTTGCTTTTAATTTTTTCGCTGGTGAAGAATCTAAGCAAGCATGCAGGCCTAGGCCGTGCTTGGATTCTTCTTTTGGCGGCGGCTCAGCTCTAGTGACATAGGTGTGGGTGGCATATATCAGTCATAAACACGGTCTTACCAAGTCTGAAGTTCACAATCCCCACATCCCAAGTTTTAGTCCAAGATGCCTAGATTATCTTATCCGACCAAAATATTCATACACTTTGAATGCACAAAACTTTACGTAGACTTCGT